ATTTATTTTATGAATTTATTATAACATTGTTTGAATTATGTCATGAAAAAGTGAAATATATTTAAAAGATATTCGTTTTTACTGTTTTTCTATTCATACATATGTATATGATAATGTTTGTTCAGTTCTCTTGTACTCAAGCTCCCAAATGCCCTGGTACGGCCGAGAGTGGGGAGAGTCCGCTCTCCCTCTCCAAATGCTCTCACATGACCACGCGTACATAGCCCCTGCCAGGAAAGTCCTACTCACTGCCTTCACGTGGCAGGGGTGTTGTTTACGAAAATGAGAGGACGAATGTCCGGCGGTTTAACCGGATACAAAACCAATGGTGCACATGGGCTCCAGTATCCTGAAGGAACAAATGGCGTATGAACCAATCGTTGGTCACCGGCTACCATGGGACTGTATCTCCTTACGATGCTCCACTGCCTTGTGGGTCAGACCTTTAGGTCAAAAGCTCGGAGCGTGTCCCCCTAAGATAACCACCTGCTTCGGTTTGGGCACCCGGACAGTATCACAGCCCTCACACAAATCAAATGAGATTCGTGTGGCGCATATGTATTTCGTGCCTCCTTGTACCAATACCTATGTGTTAAAATAAATAAATAAATAATAAATCTCTTGTACTCTCACTGTGTATATGAATATACATTTCATTTACTTAACAACTGAATTGTAAAACATCTTAGTTGTGTTTATTATGTTTGTTTTGTTTTTTGTTGTTGTTGTTGTTAGTAAAGTTGTAGTAGTATTGGAAAGAACCAATCAGAACTTTTAGTCTTTTGTGTAACAATCTAATATCTTGTATACAGCACAGAATATTTAAAGTGATAGCCAAAAACTACTTTTTGTCTCCATTCGGTAATGTGAGCTCGATTTCGCTTCTAAAGATTGTGTATAACAAGCGAATCGGCTCTGAAATAATGCTCAAACAGACATTAGTTCAGCGGAATAATATTTTATGAACAATTTGGATTTTTGCGGGAAATTCATTCATCTTTATGTTGGGGACGGTAGATCCTCAAAAACTCATAGTTTGTAATTTATCTTGTGGAGCTTGTATGCAGATGTATACGTGGGCATTTCTTACCACCCACGCACATAGTTGATTGACGAATTTATCGATTAAATGTTTAAATATTTCGATGGCAGTCAATTGACGAACTATCGATTAAATGTTTAAAAGCTCCATGACAATATCGATGTATATATATTTGTATATATACGTTTTAAGATTGTCTTTGTAAAAAGTTTGCTGGTTTTTCTGGTTGTTACAGAATATACTTTCATTCTAAGCTTGGTTTTCTCACTCTAGTAGCGGGGCTGGGACGCGTCAATAGATAGCTTACTGGACCTTGGTCACCGAATCCTCGATCTCGTTCTCAAACTACGTGAACCCGATAACTCTCTCTCTCTCTATCTTCAAACCCTAACACTTTATTGTTTTACATTATAGTTGATGTCAGTTCATGATTAAAAATAATTCTTAATCTAACCTTAACCAACAACAATTTAGGTACTCATAGAAATCTTGAGTTTTTATAAGTGTTCAAGAAGATGGATAATCTACATCTATGAATAGATTTATATGTCGTTTGTTTAAGTTACATACAAACTTTCAGAGATTAATTATGTATAAACTTTTGATGCTTTGTGATATTGTTTTCTTTTCTATGAACCCGTTTACAAAGGATGTCTTATTTGCTAAGAAGTGCCTGGAAATTGTTCAAGACTATTTTAGACTCGACCATATACTCTCTATTTTCTTCTACAGGCTTAGCAAATGATAGAGGGAGATAGGATCCCGGGGAATAATCCCCAGGATACTCGGTCGGATCGTACCTACTAATTGTTAGAAAATAGATTGGACGGTCTCAACCCTCAAGTGTTAGACGGTTATACTGAAACAAGCCGCTATTGTTAGTAATCGTCAGTTGGTCTCTTGATTCTTTAGATACCTCCACTTGTAAATAAGCATCAATAATGTCCAACTTTGCGTGGATCTTCCCACCATTTAGCTTAGTGAATAAATCTGTGCGAATTGACAGTGTAATGATGTTTAAGGGTTGTGTTAGAGCCCATTGAGAGATCTGCGTGTTGTGCCTTTTGCCTTCTGGATAACCACAGTTGTTGCAGCCCAAACAGAATAAGGGGCAGGTGTGATAACTCCTTTTAGTTGTAGGCAGTTTAATTCTTCAACTTTCGATAATGCTGCATATGGCACTAGTCTGTTTGGACGGAAGACAGGTTTACTTCCTGTCTTCAACCGAAAGGTTGCTTTCATTGTGGAGCACCGACCCAGCAAAAGCTAGATGGTCAAGAACTTCGTTGCATATGCTTACGGTTCTGGGGGTTGCCTTATCAAATGGTATACAGTACTTAGTGGGATGTCAGCTAAATGCAGCTGGTCGACCCAATCATAGTGAACGTTGATTCACGGAAAGACACTTCACTATCTGGTCCCAACAAACGTAGGTAAACATCACACGTTGTACGACGCTTTTTATGTGTTGTTGGCTTCATGGGTGGACTTCCCGTTTTGATCCGAAATTTTCGAGAAATAATGGTGATGTCTAATGTATCTTTGCAAACTAAATGAATGCCCGATTTCCTCTCACCTGCAATTGCGCTCTAACAACTATTACGCTCAATAAGTTTATGCAGGATTCCTAATACTTCTTTCTATGTGTTGGTCGATTTGTCTTCCTTTGACAGAATCCATCCTTGTGACTAATGGATTCATAATATTATTTAAACGGACAGGTTTGTACAAAATGCCACGCACCATAGCACCATCCGGAAGCCGAAGGATTATTATTCGTTCGTTAAACTAAGCTCGGGTAAGATGGGCTAGATATAGCAGTGTTGGGTAGCTGCTGGACTACGTGAACTTCGAGGCGTTCGGAACCACCTACTAAACTGTTGTAGTATCGCTAAATGTTGATATTCATCTCAATGTCACTAAAAGTATTTTTCGGTTTCTTGATTAAATCGACATAGTAACCGCGTTCTAATGTCATTAAACTTTTGTGATTTGAGACTGCAAATGAGAGCTTTAAACTGACATTCAGCCAACAATTTCAGCCCGAAACTTTCGTATTCGTGGTTAGTGACACTCACATGCGTAAGAAAGTTAGTGTCTTCTTCCGTAATCCGTTTACAACATCAATAGCTTGTATTGAATAACGAGGGTTTATCTCCAAACTGTTGACTTGATGACTGAACAGTGTTAAAAAATGAGTGGTTTTGTAGCAAAATCAATTCCTAATACCTATCTAACTCACTTGGACCCAATTTTCGAAGTAGCAGCCAAACTTTCTAAGCATAATCTTGATCGGCGAAATCAAATTTAAATTAATCCTCACAACGCATTAACATCGGGATCGTAATGAAATTAGGCAATATTGTTTGCGATTCCGTCATTTGACCGTACGGTAGTAGAAATAGATGTGCTAAGTTGCGAAGTAGGCGTAACTTTCGTATCTGTTAACATCTAAATAAATTTTAGCTGCTGTTCTATCCATACTTCCACATTTACAGGGTCCGTGCATGCACTAGCCTAGTCGCCGTTAATATGTTCGTGGGAGTTACGATATCACTTAGGACCAGCGAACGGAACGAAAGTCAGCAGCACAACAACAGGACAAGCTAAGCTATCTCACTACACCGCAGCCCTGCTAACTAGAGGGAAAAGACCTGATTCATCCGGGAAAAGATATATTACACAAGCACTCCGTAAGAACGAACACGCATTGTATGTGTATATATACAACACAAAAATATCCTTGAAAAACGTCAAAAAAATAGCTTACTGAAAGAGGAAGTAAACCAATAATATTTAAGGTTATTCCCAGGTCAGACACAAACTGAAGGTAAAAGTGGGTGCGTGAATAACTATTTTTGTATTTGTTACGTCCTATAGACTAAATCACCAATCAGAACATTGACTTATGCGACCTTAGCCTGTCCAAAACTAATGCCGTGTTAACTGGCATGAGCAGCCTACAGTCAACTAAATAACTAGCCCTACCTGGCTGAGTCCAGAGCACAACCTCAGCTTTCACTGTATAAATCATGTACTTCAGACATCCGCAGTTTGAATACAAGTAAATCAGACTGCATCATACTATAAAATACAAAATAACAATTACACGAGATCAAGTCGAAAGTGGCTGTGAGTGTGAGAGACTGTGTCTAATAAATTGGGAATAGGTTAAGAATGTTAAATCGAATCACAATATCCAACAAGTCAAATAAAAGGAATACGAATATATGTATATATATCAGAGTAAATAAAATAATACAAATCGAATTACTCGATAGTCAAATTCTATTCAATTTAATCACAATAGTAATTCTTGGACGTTTACTTATCTGGGCAGCACCAGTGATGAACACGGTGGATCTGATGTACATATGAAGGCGCGGATCGCCAAAGTTAGAGCAGCATATCTACGACTGAAGAACTTCTGGAACTTAGAACAACTGTCAACCAACACCAAAGTCAGAATTTTTAACACAAATATCAAGACAGTTCTACTGTATGGGGTGGAAACTTGGAGAAATACGAAAGTCATCATCCAGAAGATAAAAGTGTTTATTAACAGTTGTCTACGAAAAATATTTCGGATCCGTTGGCCGGACACTATCAGCAAAAACCTACTATGGGAGAGGACAAACCAGATTCCAGCGGAGGAAGAAATCAGGAAGAAGTGCTGGGAGTGGATAGGACACATATTGTGGAAAGCACCCAACTGCGTCACAAGGCAAGCCCTCGTTTGGAATTCTCAACGCCAAAGAACACATTACTATGAGAAATGGAGACAGACATGAGAAGAATGAACAACAGTTGGATAGAACTAGAAAGGAAGGCCCAGGACAATGAGTTGGAGAATGCTGATTGGTAGTCTATGCTCCTTTGGAAACAACAAGCGTGAGTAAGTAAATAAGTAACACAATCAATAAACCACGTATACATTTATATTTCAGCAAGAAATATATCATACTATAGCTCCGGTAACGTTATGTAAGATAGTCATCAACGCATAACGATTGATTTGTTTAGCTTCATCTTGTAAATATCTCTTTATGACTTGAGATGATGATTGAAATTCTTCACAATAACAATTCCTTAAGTTGTATTCACTGTTCCATGGTTGTAATGTTGTAATTGCTTTCTTTTCGTACAAATTTAATGCTTCAATTTCAAATATATCGTCTTTTAAAAACAAAAGGTTTGATAAGGCTTTGGCTTTAGAAGTTAAGAATATTCCTTCTTCTTCTTCTTCTTCTTTTTCTTTTTCTACCTCTGAGTAAACGCTTTCGTCTCTAACATCGTTTAATGTTCCATCAATTAAACATGGACATAAACATTGACAGATCAAACGTCTTTTGTTATCCAAGTCGATATTCCAGTCAGCCATTATATATATATAGATCTTATGAATTCAAAATAGATACATTTGTTTATTTTAATACTGTATTGACTACCTATAACTAATGGGTTTCATACATTGTATTAATGAATAATTACATTATTGCAAATGATGCCTTTTATGATTGAATGATAACATATTCAGCAGTTTAAAAATCCTCATAGAATATTCAAAAAATGAACGAACAATTGTTTTTAATAAATTCATCATCAGACTGTACAAGGCATGTATTAATGTAATTTAACAATGTTCTATATTGAAAATAGTGAATGTTTTCATCTGTTACTTACTTACTTACTTACTTACGCCTGTTACTCCTCGTGAAGGAGCATAGGCCGCTCACCAGCATTCTCCATCCAACCCTGTCCTGGGCAATCCTTTCAAGCTCTTTCCAGTTCTTATTCATCTTTTTCATATCTGCTTCTATTTCCCGACGTAATGTGTTCTTTGGCCTTCCTCTTTTCCGCTTCCCTTCAGGATTCCAAGTTAGCGCTTGTCTCGTAATGCAGTTTGATGATTTCCTCAATGTATGTCCTATCCATTTCCATCGTCTTTTCCTAATTTCCTCTTCAGCTGGAAGCTGGTTGGTTCTCTCCCACAAAAGGCTGTTGCTGATGGTATCCGGCCAATGGATGTTGAGTATCATGCGTAGACAGCTATTAATAAATACCTGTACCTTCTTGATGGTGGTTGTTGTAGTTCTCCAAGTTTCAGCTCCGTACAGTAGAACTGCCTTGACGTTCGTATTGAAGATTCTGACTTTGATATTGGTTGAAAGTTGTTTTGAGTTCCATATGTTCTTCAGTTGAAGGAATGCCGCTCTAGCTTTGCCAATCCTCGCCTTGACGTCTGCATCTGAACCTCCTTGTTTATCGACGATGCTTCCCAGGTATGTGAAGGATTCCACGTCTTCCAGAGTTTCGCCATCAAGAGTGATTGGATTGCTGTTCTCCGTGTTGTGTTTGGAGACCTTGGTTTTCCCTTTGTGTATGTTGAGGCCTACTGATGCAGAGACTGCTGCTATGCTGGCTGTCTTTATCTGCATTTGTTCGTGTGTATGTGATAGGAGGGCTAGGTCATCTGCGAAGTCCAAGTCGTCTAATTGGTTCTGAGCTGTCCATCGTATGCCGTAGTTTCTCTCAGATGTCGAGGTCTTCATAATCCAGTCGACCACCAGAAGAAACAGGAAGGGAGAGAGTAGACAGCCTTGTCTTACTCCGGTCCTTACTTGGAATGCCTCTATCAGCTGTCCTCCATGCACTACTTTGCACTGTAGTCCGTCGTATGAGTTCCGGATAATGTTGACAATCTTCTCAGGAACTCCGTAGTGTCGAAGAAGTTTCCATAACGTCCTCCTATCTACACTGTCAAATGCCTTCTCATAATCAATGAAGTTGATGTAGAGTGACGAGTTCCACTCAATTGATTGTTCGACGATGATCCGTAGTGTCGCAGTTTTCATCTGTTACAACATGTTTATACTTCAATATTGTATTATTTGTAAATTAGAAATGTCATTCAATATAATTTAAAGTAAAATAGAATGATATTATAGTAAAAATAAAAATGCAAGAAAAAAAAATTGGGTAAATAAAATACATAGTAGGAGAATTTCATCTTATCAATTAAGATAACACATTCTCTAAGGTTAAATTATTATCTTTATATTGAAACAATTAAAGATATTTGATAAAAGTATAAAATTGATGAAATAAATAGAAACATTCAAACAAATGAAAATAGATAAGATATTGATGAGACTATAATTTATAGACGATCTTTAAACGACTTTAACCTGACGTTGAAAGTGTTCATCTAATAACTAAAACCAAATCAGGATTATAAGTCTGTGTAAGGAGTTCGAATTGTGATTTACAGTTGATGATTAATGTTAGAAATTAGATTTAGGGTTTTCATCATGAACTAACATCAGTTATAATACCATAACTTTATTTATCCGAATGGATGAGTGAATTTCGCGCCAAAATCCAAAACCTGTTCATTTATACATGATTGTAAATCAATAATATATTTGTAATATCCCAATAAGTAGAAAATTAGATTTTCTGACGTTTCGTGACTTAGTGTAAGTTACTTCTTTAGAGAATAAATAACCAAATTAAAATTAATCCAAGTTTAAATAGTACAACGGAACAATCTCTAAAGAAGTGACTTACACTAAGTCACGAAACGTCAGAAAATCTAATTTTCTACTTATTGGGATATTACAAATATATTATTTATTGATAACAATCAACCCAATGCTTAATTTATTCGAAATTATCAAAACAAACCTTGGTAATGATACCTACATTATACGTGATTGGTTCATCCATAAATTATAGTATCGCCGAAAAGTTTAGATATATAAGATAACTGTCATGAAAATACGTTTGTTTTAAAATTGATATCGGATCAATGTGTAAATGAACTATAAGACATATCATATTGCGACATTAATATAACGCTCGGTTTTCCACATTTACATGAATGGGACGTTAATTTTACCTCAGACGAATATTATCTACACTAGATTCTTTCCCAGTGTATCTCTCTATTCCATAGAACTTAAATATAAATCAGATCAAGAACATGTGATTAGCCTGACTAGAACGTAAAACATATATTTCCACACCAAAATCCGACATAATCTAACAATTAATAATTACAAGGATAGGGAAACATATATAACTCATCTACTACCTTTCAGACTATCCACAAGTCTGACTAAGAAAACAACCGATCATTATCCTTCTCATCCACACATCAGATATCTTTTAGCATAAGCTAACTAACTATATATATATATATATATATATATATATATATATATATATATATATATATATATATATATATATATATATATATATATATATATATATATATATATATATATATATATATAAGATTTGTTTTTAAATACAGAACTGTATATTTATAATAATTGCTAGTTAAGATTTTTCTGTTATATTCCGATGAGGATAATGAACGGTATCAACTGTTGGGGTCTATTTATGGTCTAATACGATACATATATTTCTTATTGTATAATTGTTAAGTAACTAAATTATGTATATTCGTGTTCCTCTTATCATAAGCTTTATTTTAACCTATGAACTGTTAATATACGATTTACCATTCTTGAATTATGCCCCAGTCTATCAATTACTATCTCCCACATTCACAGCCATTTTCGTCTAAATCTTGTACAAATGTTGTTTCCAATTTTATGGTATGATATGGTCTGTTTAGTTTGTATAGAAACCCAGTATATTTAAAATAAATGATTCATATTAGTGTTCAGGACTCCATAATCAGACAGGGCCCGTGAGAAAGAAGAACCGATAGGGACCCTAGACTGCTCGTATGGGTTTTATGTGTCATTGGTCCAATCAATAATTCACTGCGCTCTAATTGGCGATATCATTAAGTTATACATTAATAGGACACATAGGGTACAAATTATAATATTCAATCATTTTATTTTATTTGTTGTTGTTGTTGTTGTTGTTGTTGAATATCCATTCCTTGACTTATAATATGTAAGATTTCTTAATTGTTTCTCTTTTAATTGTAAATTTTCTGCTTCTTTTCTTAACATTACTTCATAAGCTAATTCAGCTTTTTGTTGTGCTTCTAAATCAGCTTTTAATTCATCATTAATCAATTGATTCGATTTAATTTTATCATTTAATTGATTATTGAGTTGACAACATTGTTCATTCACTTGATTATGATATGTTGTTTCTTTAAGTTTATCATAGAGATGAATATTTTCAATTTTTTCTAATAATTCCTCTCTTGAAATTAATTCATCATGTTGAAATTGTTGAATTGAAGTTAATTGATCTGAGATTTGTTTACGACGATGTTCGATTACCTAAAAAAGATAAGAATGTATATTCGAATTAGTAGATTTTGTAGAGATTGATAATTGAATTCATGAGTCAATTGAAGCTAGATCATTATGGGAAACCTGGAAGTACTGGACGGCTGTTTGATTCTAGTATGGAACTCTTAGCAGTGTGCATCCACGATTCTGCCTCACGAGATTCGAACCCAGAACCTATCGGTCCAGCGCACGAACGCTTAACCACTAGACCACTGAGTCGGTTGTCATTCAATGGTGTTAATGCCTAACTTCAACTAATCCACGAAATTGAACGACACATCGGCCATTGTCTTCAATGTGTTACTATCTCACAACAGACCCGGTTGAACTCCACTGGTCACTGCTTCTCACTAGAACTCCAGGAAATACCTCTTGGAGACAGTCACTAGTGAGCATATGAAGATTATAATCAGACAGGCGTTTTGTGGAGATTGTAGTAATTTTAATAATCGAATTCCTGAGTCAATTGAAGCTAGACCATCATGGAAAATCTGATAGCACTGAACAGTCATTTTATCTTAGTGTGGGACTCCTCAACATGGAGCATCCAAATTAATAACTTTTATAAAATAAACTTGAACAATTTAACCCTTTTTGTGTTTCAATGAAATTTGAACAGTTTCTATTGTAGTAGGCTTTACTTCAGTTCATTCAGCTAAGGACTAGATTTATAATTTGTACTGTCTTTAACCATTAAGTCTTTTATTCTGAGATTTCTGATACATCTTAAATCAGTAGTCGAAAAATGCTGAGTCCATCTCAAGATATCCATAGAAAGAGTTTTATAAATCACTCTTATAATTATTACATTTTTAAGTTGTAATCATTCCTGTTATATCCTAGAGAAGATCAGATTAAGAGTAGCTTTTCAGATCTATTATTGTACCAATATTATCTATATATTCTTATTATGTAACTATTCAGTAACTAGATTAGGTATATCTATATTCCCTTTGTTATAAGCTTTATTTTAACCTATATATTATTATTGTACGATTTACTGTTTTTAAGCTATGTTCAGTTTATTGACTATTGCCTCCCACGTTCACAGCCACTTTTTGGTTTGATCTTGTATAAATGTTATTTCCTATTTTTTATGGAGTGATGCGGTCAGTTTAGCTTGTATATAAACCAAGTATGTTTGAAATAAGTGATTCACATATTGGAATCTGTTATTGGTATTCTGGACTCAACTGGACGGGGTTAGGCAAAAAGCGATCAATAATGATGCTAGGCTACACATACCAGTCGAACGATATTGATTTAGTGGAGTACTAAGATTGAATAAGTTGTATTCTGATTGGTGAATAAATCACATGGTAACAAGCCGGGTGTAAAGTCATAACAATTCCCCCTGCAACTAAATAAGTACTAGGTAGGAAAATCTAATATAAAGTGAACATTAAATTTTCAGAGATTAAAAAAAAGAAAATCAAATTCATAAATGTTGTCAAGACCAATTTTGGATCATATTGGTTATTAATAATAGTATGGTGTGTGCTACTTATATCGACATAAGTAGTATATGGCGATAGTCAGGAATACAATTTCTTGCAGTAGAAGATCGAGGAGGGAAGAATGGTAACAAAAAGTAATTGGTATTGAAATGAAGGGACAATGAACTCTGAGACGATTGAATGGAACAGTAAATTTTGAGACAATTGACTAACATTTTGCAAATGAGGTATTTCCTGTATGGATCTCAGATTTTACTAATACGTTCTGTAATTTATATCTTCAAATACATTGGATTGTCTTCACTTGTACTCTTGTTCATTACAATAGTTAAGTAGGAACCTCTAGGTTAATACTAACCATAAGATAACACTTTTATTGTCATATAATCGGTTACTAAGAATTCTAGTTTTTGTAGTTTCTGGCTTTAAGGATATTCTCTATTATAAAAAAAAATAGATGAATTAAATATAACCACTTTGCCAAAAAGTAATATTATGAGCTATCTTCTACAAATTGTTGTATTATTAGCCAAACATTTACTACTTATTACATTTAAATGTTTTGAAATTATCAATAGTTAAATACAAGTGGTTTATTTCACTTGGTATTGTTTATTTAAATCTCCCATTGATGCTTTAAGACTGTAATTGATCAGTCTCTCATATTGGCATATGTGCATACTGTAAGTATTGCCTCGAAATTGCCTTAATTCACAGATGTTATGAAGAAAGATAGATAGTGGCTAATAGTGAAATAAAGTTTGATGCGCGTCTGATCCTATTTAGGACTCATCAACTGGATGTACCTACATCTCAGAGTTCATGTTCACTCTGGGACTCGAACCCAGTACCGTTCGAGACAAACGTCATCGCGTTATCCACTTAGCTACTGAGTCCTGATAGCCACTTGCTTGGGCAATGGGGTGAAGTTTAAATTTACTTGATATTGTTTACTTGAATCTTCTCATGGTTAATGTTGAATCAAATTTCTCAATGCCAATTCTATATAAACGGCAATTATTTCTAAATAATCTTTATTAGCGATGAGAAAATAAAACCCTACAACATCACAAAAAACTGAAACTCAAGTGACTGAAAGATTCTCAAATTCGACAAAAAGAATGTCATTAACAAACAAAAGATTAAATTAGTAAACTATTTACATATTTATGTCAGGAAGTCGTATCATGTTTATTTATGCTTCTGGGAATAAGCTTGGATCCGTATCCAGTCAAAAACTTTCGATATCTTGTAATATTCAATCTGAAAATCTAATGCCTCTACATAATTCGAAACAATATGGGCTCTAGATAGTGAACGAAAACACAAGTGATAGACAACCAAGTGTATCTGAATACAAAATTACAGTATTTCTTAGTAAAATCTGTGAACCATACAGTAAATACTCGATTTGTAAAATATCCATCGTTTGTCTAAAACTTGACTGTTTCTTTTGCAAATATCAATCCATTGTCTCAGATTTCATTGTTCCTGCATTTTCACATTAGTTGCTTTTTATTTCCTTTCTCTCATTTCTGATCTTCTACTGAAATACATTCTATTCCTGACTCATTATATACTACTTATGTGAATATAAGTAGCTCAAACCACATCTATACTTAAAAATATCCATGTAGTTTTATGAATAATTCGGTGAGTGTTTACGATAGTAACAAAATATTGGAATTGCTCAATTTTCTCTCTAGAATTTTTTTGTTTATTTTTATACTTCGAATTATGAAGTGAACTTAGCTAGATTACTATTAAAAAAGCAAAAATCACTGGACGGATGTTTTATCCTAATATGTGACTTCATTACTCAGTATTCCAGGAAGAGTCCTATGTTAGGACAAAAAAAACACTGAAAAATACCTCCTGGCTTTCAATGGTAGTCTAGATAAAATCAGTTTGTGGTTTAAACTATAGCATTCCACAATCGTCACAAACCTTCCTATACTAATATTTTTTGTTTATTATTTAAATTTCTAGTAAGTTAATCAGATATAGTGAAGAACATATGCAACTAAGAACAACTTTCAACTACTATAAAAATCATCATCTTCAAAACGAACGTCAAGACAGTTCTACTGTACGGAGCAAAAAACTTGTTGAACTATTACAACCATCATCAAGAAGGTACATGTATTTATCAATGGTTGTGTACGCAAGATACTCAACATCCATTGGCCGGATACCATCAGCAACACGATTCTGTGACACAGAACAAACCAGCTTCGAGCTGAAGAGGAAATTAGGAAAAGACGTTGGAAATGGATAGGACATACATTACGAGAATCACCAAACTGCACCACGAGGCAAGCCTGTACTTAGAATTCTGAAGGGAAGTGGAAAAGAGGAAGGCCAAAGTACACATTACATCGTGAAATAGAAGTAGATGTGAAAAGAATGAATAGCAATCGAAAAGAACTGAAAAGGATTTCCCAGGACAGGGTTGAATAGAGAATTCTAGTGGGTCGCCTATGCTCCTCCATGACGAGTAACAGGCATAAGTAAATCAGATATAGTTAGTTTTGGCTAACTTGACAGATAAACAACTGACAATAAGATGGTATAAATATTTATTGGTGAAATTTTTATATCTGTACATGTATACTACTAATGATATACCACATAATTCATAATCAGTACCTATGGGTCAAATACAATCAATCGTTATTTGTCATTAGATCCTGAATTTTAAAATTATTTCATAACTTATTCCTTGAATCAATTCTTTAATCTGCAATCAAGCCATTAATCTTCTTACTATCAATGATGCAACTAATATTTATGCTTTGACATTCTTCATGATAGTTTTATCTAGCTGTGTTGATTTGCTGTAGCAACTTAGACCGATGCATGTATATCCCACTTCCTACATTATTTGTGGCTGACTGATTTAAGGACATCTTCGGTTTTAAATTTACCCTAAATTAGTTAATTTATAAGCTAAACAGGTCACAACTCCGCCTGTAGCTGTTCTAAGGTTACTGCCAGTCCCAAGCCTAGGTAAACGAAGACAGTTGGTCTTGGGGTCGGCAACCCCAGCTCTTAGAAAACAAACTTGCTAAAAAACGATGGCAAGAACAAACAAATCAAACTGTTTATACTCTGCTCTGGGAATTGTAGGGTATTCATTCAGAAGAATTATGACGCTTCATGGTAAAAACCGATATCTCTTCTAACAACCAGAGCAACAATTAGTATAGGTACATGAATTTTTTGGACGATGTGGGAGATCGAGAGGACCAGTCAAATAGCTACATAAATAAAGAGATATAGATGGACGTAGGTCGAGATAAAGTTACCCAGTTATAAAGACTAGGACTGTACATTTTTTTAACAATGTATATACCTCCTTCAATTTATACTAATATTGACCATCTTCAAGATGTTTAACCGAACACATAGAATTCAGTTTAAATAATGATGAGAAAACATCAACCGAGAAAAATATTGGGATGGTAGATAGGTCGCATACATCAAAGTTTATTTCCTCCGAAAAAGTGGCTTACATTAAGTCGCGAAACTTTAAACATACAAAAAAAAATATATTTATTACAACAGTTTAAATTATAGATGCTCAGCTGTAAACTTAAATATTAAGTCTAAACAGTATCCTGAACTCTTCTTACCTCTTGTAAAAGCTTTTGTCTAATGGCCGTTTCATTTCTCCATTCTTCTTCACGTTTAGCCCATAACTTTGATGCTTCATAACTAGATAAATCATTATCAAATTTCATTAAAAGAAAAACAGTTTTTTGATTAATACTAACCTTAACTTGAAAAGTCGTTTGATTAAATACAGCTACATATAATTAAGTTAATTAAAGTTTACTACTCAGTTACTATGCTTATAAAAATAATGTAGAACCGATAGTTGGAGATTAAAAACTTCAAGTTTAACGAGTAATTAGTGATTTACTTTGTTCAATTACTTTCCACGATTCAAACAGTAGATAAGGTTGTATTTAGCCAAACCGAGGTATTCAATGGAAGCTACCCCTTTATGATTTTTGATGAAGCGTCAATTTATATATATATATATATATATATATATATATATATATATATATATATATATATATATATATATATATATATATATATATATATATAAATTGACGCTTCATCAAAAATCATAAAGGGGTAGCTTCCATTGAATACCTCGGTTTGGCTAAATACAACCTTATCTACTGTTTGAATCGTGGAAAGTAATTGAACAAAGTAAATCACTAATTACTCGTTAAACTTGAAGTTTTTAATCTCCAACTAAAGGTTCTACATTATATATATATATATAGAAAATCATACTTTGTGACCATTCTATTATTAAAAATTTTCTCAATGAACCTGAAGTTTTGAAGTAGTTCAGTAGAGAAAAGTTTCATTGGAATCGTGAATCGATTTAAGTTAAACTGCCTTTTACAACTTGAAAGCACTAAGCGGCAGTTTCTTCCTGAAAGGAAGATCTCTTCAGCAGTGTGTATCCGCGATTTCAGCAACCAAAACCAGAACTTTCGGTTTCGCGTGTGAACATCTAACCTCTAGCCCAATGAGCCTAGAGGTATTAAGTTTAATCAATCCATGACATTATGCAACCATCTTCTAATGAATTTGGTGGGTAACCGCCTAACATACACGATACAGGCGTTCAATGCTCTCAGAATATCAAAAGTGGTCTAACTTGATTCATGATTTTGGTGAAAGTCAACAATCTCCATAACATCTGATCGACAAAAAAAATATCTTCTCGACAATAATATATTATATTTATAATGATTTGATAAACAGATGGGTCGGATGTAATGTAGAATGGAATTAAATCACAGTGTCCGGAAATTCCAAGTATTGAAAGACGGTTACGTAATGATCTAGAAGTTATTATTATAATGAATTGCGAAAGTAAAAATAACTGAATACCGATTTAGGAAGTAAAATACAACGACAAAAACGAAAAAACAGCAAAGGAGGTGTAAGGGCTACGTAAGTAATACAGGTTTCACGTTTTATTCTGGTATATAGAGTTCATGCTTGAGTTGTTAAATTACCAAGATATAGGATTTTTGGATTTGACCTACATTTGATCTTTCTTGCTTTACCGTGTTAATGATTTTCAAGGATGATTCTGGTGGGGCGATGTGACTAGGATTGATAGAATGCTTTTGTATTCGGTTGGTAATTGTTTTGCATTCTCTTTCTTAAATCTACACCGATTAATGTTCTGAGATCTACTTAGAAAGTGTGTAGAGGTTAATTTTCTCTATATCTGACTCCAATAAATAGTATCGCATTAACTGAATATTTACGCAGACTAAACCTCTTAGTAGTACTATGAATTTATTCAAGACTATTCAAAAGCCCGAACACCAGTTGTGGAGATAGTTTATCATTAATGACCAGTAAAAATCTGCAAGGGCGCAGACAGCAATCACACGGGGAAACCAGTATGTGTTTTCTTTGAGTGTTAAAAACTCATGTATATTTATGTGTTAATCAATTGTGGATAAATTATTGATTATTTGTGCAGACATGATCTCAATCAGACTCACACAAAACTTTACATGGTAGATCAAATGTCTTAATTACAGTGAGCGGACAAATAACAAACTGGTTGAATGGGCTTACTACAAATGTTCGCTTTTTACATCCAACGTTAATAATATTCACCTTTCTATACTTCTCTAACTTCTAGGTCATTACTTAACCGTCTTTCAATACTTGAAATCTCCAGACACTTTGTGATTTAATTTCATTCCACAATACATCAAACTCATATGGTTATAAAATCACCATAAATACAGTATGATATAGTCGGGAGGGAAATTCTCTTCACTGAACTTCCCTTTTCTTCAGTGACACAATGAGTTACCTAGTTTTCCTAAAGATTTCAAATGAAAACATGGAGGGAAATAGTGGTCTTAAGTTCCGTCAGAGGTTTGAGGGTGGTTATCATTTCCCGGTTGCCCAAACCGTGGTAGGGTTCTTCTAGAGGTACCTGAAAAGGAAATCGGATTAAAGGTGGTCTTGGTGGCCTGAGAGCGTGACTGCAGTGCGCAAGGGACAACTGCTTGAGGTTGGTCACACACGACCTCTTTGTGGGTAATTTTTGTGTTTGCTCTGTACTTGTTGAGACCTTACCGCGGGAGAAGGATATCCGTGGGATAAGGCGAGGTGTGCATTTTTAGGGTCGACACCTTCTGACCCCATCCCTCCTAATGGAAAGACAACATCGATGATATGTTGGTTGTGTGAAGAAAACACCTTACTGACAACAATCAACAGTACGACTTTGCATTGGGACCTTCGTCTTACCTTTCTTCAACCGACCTGTCTGGCATGGTAGGACCTTGAGGAACGATTGTTCCAGCCAGTATATCTCGATTAGTTCATCACGATTGTCAAACCCGACCACCACATCAAGGTAGTAACAATGATCAAATGAAATAAAACAACTTATCATAGTATTGTTTTCAAATGTTCATCAACTAATCATAATTACTTCTTTCGTAAATATCAACTCACACTTCTAATTCATTTAATTCTAATTCTCTTATTTGTTCTTTCTGTAATTCATATTCAACTAATTTTTGTATTGCTAAAATATTTTCTTTTTCTTTTTGTTTTCTTTCAATATCAGCTTCATAATCGAAATTTTCTTGTATTGTTAATTGATTTAACCAATCTAAATCAGCTTTTAATTCATTTTGTACAGATAATGAACGTCTACGTAATGCTGTTTGATGTTGATGTAATAAAGCACGTCCATATAGTTCACGTTGACATTTTTCTTCAATTATACGTCGTTTATGTTCAAGTTGATCCATTTTAGCTAATTGTTTCATTAAATTTTTCTCTTTTTCAACTAGACGTTTTGCCTAAAAAAAACAAACAGTCGATTCAATAAACACATATAACTTAGTACAGTTACAAGCTTTTTAAGCATAGACGGATACATATCCTATCACGTTGCTTGGTAGAATAAAATAATCAAATTAAAAATTGGTAAGACTATAATTTATGAACAAACCAATCAGATTTTCACTCGGAATTCACTTATCCATTTTGGTTAAATAAAGTTTTGACACTATAGCTAATGTCAATTCTTGATGAAAACCCTATATCTGATTCCGAATTCCTCATGATGGTGTAGTGTCTGTCATTATGTTAAGCCCAAATACCTTATTATTCTAACTTTCGGACAGCCCATTCTATTCATTCTATTTGAGTCACATTCTGACCTTGTTAATTATTCGCTTATCAATATCTTGACTGTCTTTGTATGAGCGCGTAGGCGTATGCACACTTCTTATCCCGTTACTCATCACATGTCTGTAATTTATTTTTGTGGGCTTATAAATATTGATTAACTCTTTGTTAAGCGGAGAGTTGGCTTACCAGCCATCTCCACCGCTCGTCAATTTTGCTTCGCTTTCTTCTCTTCGCGTCGTTCTCCCGTTCGTTTGTCTAATCAACAATTATACAAAATATATGCATTCAAAACTCCATTCTCGTTATTTGACTTATTTAATTCCGTTATTAACTAAGGCGATTTAAGTCAATGATTATATACGAGGATAGACGATAGCAACCAATTATTACGATCAAATTGGAGTCAGATCACGGGCCACTAAAATGGTGATCCCGTCACCACAAGCGAACACATCAGGCTACTAAAATGGTTTATAACTCTCATTTAGCCATAGTATATAGGTGGACATTCTTAAGGTGTAAAGATTTGTAAAAAAAAAAAAAAAAGATATTTTGACAAAATCACTATTGTCTGTAGTATGTAAATCACTAGTTTAATTTTATATTGATTAAATAAATAAATAATTGTGAAACATATTATCTATTTGGAGAGGTGGTCAGTATATGACATGGTGTCGTGGTATGAAAGAAAGCTGCAAAGGGCTAGCTTCTGTTGGTCCTTCACGACTCCCTGGTTGGGGTCCGAAAGACGGTGTAACACAGTGGCTAGAGACGTTATCAGATATGGCTCAGAATAGAAGCCAGTGGCGATCCTGCTGTAACCTTCTTTTACTTTCTTCATAAAAAGTGGTTGTATCTTCCTTAACTGAAAGATTTCTTATGATTGTACCTTTCCGTTTTCCCCATCATTGTTCTCTCTCTCTCTTTTTTTTATCCCCACGTTCATTACTTTTTTTTTTCTCTTTTCTCCTTCTCTTCAAATTATCATTGTTTTGTGTGGCGCATATATATTTGATGCCCCCCTGTACTAATATTTATGTGTTCAAATAAATAAATAAATAAATTACCTATTTGAGATTGTTCATCTCTCTCATGAATATTTTATATTTAATAAGTTGTTAAATCTAATTAATTTTGATCTTTGATTCAACTTATATGATTAATTCAATTAAACCTCTAGTGATTTCTTTATCATGTATCTCTTCATTTCTGCAGTAATTTGAAAGACTCTCCCGATCTCTCACATTGTACGAGCATTCCATGTACTGAAATTAATGGTTACTTTAATTGTCAGTAGGGGCATCAGCCTTGTTGTAATGAATAAAACACCAGTGGGGACAATCCAATGGATTTAACAACCAATTACAGAACTAGTTAGTAAAATCAAACAACCATATATTGAATCGTTAATTTGCACATTGTTCATCAATTGTCTCAAATCACTCAGAATCCCCTTGTTCTTGCATTTTCATACAAATTGCCTTCTGTCTTCATTCTTTATTGTTCGATCTTCTTATCTCTCTGCCGCCAGACATTCTGTTCAGTGCTCACGTCATATACTACTTATGTCTACATAAGTAGCACACACTTCCGAAGGAACTCGGCTTTCACCATGAGGTGTCATAACTCTTCTAAATGAAGACCTTCTAACTCTCAGAGCAGAGTTTAAATGGTTTGAACTGTTTTTAGTGGTTAGCGTTTTTTTAGCGAGTCAGTTTTCTGTGGGATGGGGTCGCTAACCTCATTACCAAACCTCCTCCTTTACTCAAGCTTGGAACCGGCAGTAGCCCCAGAGGGGCTCCAGTTGGAATCCTCAAGGCCAAAGAAAAAGAGGAAGACCAAAGGATATATTACGCCGAGGAATGAAGACAAACATGAGATGAATGAACAACAATTGGATAGAACTAGAAATGAAGGCCCAGGACAGAATGTGTTAGAGAATACTGGTCGGCGGCCTATGCTTCATTAGGAGTAACAGGCGTAAGTAAGTAATTAGGTAAGATTTTTTTATTATAACGCGTGTGTTAGATTATCATAGATTTTGAACAGATTCTGACAATTCAGACAGCATACGACTGTTAAGTTATTTTAATATCATCCTCATGAATTTATTCTCTTTATAAATAATTTTAACTTTAAACACACGTACCCCTCATGTGCACGTCTTTTCGATTCTGTACTTGTGGATTTTATGTGTGCTTATACATACCTGTAGAATAAATTATCTCATCCATTACCTGTTTCATTGATCATATTATTATAAAAAGTCGTAACGAGTAATATTTTGAGTAGCATGTTTCCATCTCTGATTCGCTTCTCCTATTCTCTGTCTTTAATAATCAGTCTATGAAACACATAGATATAGCAAAAACAAAAAACAAAAATTCAAATCGAGTTTCATTTCTTATCATTCTTTACATCTACGTTGATATTCTCTGAATTTTTATCTGACAAACAATGAAAAAGTTTGGATCACTATAGAAACGCATAACAATCGGAAAGTATTCACATCAGTCTGATAAAGACATTATGATAAACTGAAATCTTATTAGAATTCTATGTCCCACTCACACTTATACTAATGCCAATTTGGATAGTTTTTAGTCAACTCACTTCATTTTCTCGATTGTTTAATTCACATAATTGTTTTTGAAGATATTCCAAATGTTTTTCTTTATCTTGCAAACGTTTCAATTCTATTTCTACACTTTGTTTGTCCTCATACATTTTAATATCTGACTCCATTTCGTCAGTCACAATATGACCAATGTCTTCTGATTGTTTTAACTTCAGATAAAAATAAATAAAATAATAATTTAATATTTAAAAAAAAGCTTTAATCTTTACGATTTGTACAGAATTTCACCCTCATTTTTTAGTGTTTAGTAGTTGAACAACCTTTTGATATTACTGTATAAGTTCTGTTCATGGTTTCTAAATGTTATATCTAGAGCTTATATCCTTGGTATATCGCGTATAACTTGGCCACTAGAACTTTAGAACCCTTCCAAGTCGCAATGAAAAGACAGAAGACTAGATGAATGGCACGTTACTCCCGACAGTGTCGAATTACAGTACAAAACTGTCAGGTACTTATAGTTTTTAGTAAAAGCGAAATCATCATTATACCTATCCAATCTGCACACAAGAAGTTATTAGCATTGTCCAGTCGGGAAGCTACACACAGAGATTCTAGAATATTCTTTCAAAAAATGACCGGATGAAATATCTTCGGCTTTTTCTGAGCTTCTTGAGGCTTCCTCGAGTTCACCCGCGGACCGTCCTCACACTAGATCAGATTGTTATCATCTGCTACATTAATTGATAGTTATAACTTAATGTTTTATTCAATCTTAGATAACTTAAGTCATCTCGGTGTTAGCAATCACATAGTGATTTTATGTGAAATCACAGAATAATTAAGGAATGAAGATTGCATAACGACATATATATGTACAAGATAGATAATTGTCAAGATTTTTCAAAGTGCCATTTACAGTAATAACTATATTTTTGTTATATCCTTGTGAGTAAAAAGATTGTATTTATGACGTTTCGTAAATTGATGTAAACCACTTCTTCAGAATAATTTCAGTCATTTATTTACTCTGAAGATATAGCTTACATTAATTTATGAAACGTCAAAAATACAGTCTTTCTATTCATTAGGATATAACACATAATATATTTATTATTAACTCTCTACCCAATGTTCAATTTATTTGAAATTACGAAGTCCAACCTATACCATTTAGTGTTTGACAATTGCAGTATATGAAAATCCAGTGATCTGATAATTATTAACGTGAAAAAAATGTTATCATAGTACCAAAACCTAGAAATTGCTATATAATAGTAATAGAGCACCAAAAATATGTTTGCAACAAGCGATACTCTGTAGTGTTTAGTTATAAAACCTACAGTTTTCCAAATGGCATTCACTGCTAATTAACGAAAACACACTGCATTCCTTATTAAGTTCCATACATTTGTACATCATCAAATCCACTCATACTCCAGGCAATAAAATTTCGTGGACATCACAGACACATGGCTTGCCATATTTACATTTCTAGCCAAAGTTGAATTGTGTTATTATGTTAACCCCATATACCTTATTCTAGCTTTCGGATAGCTCAAACGTTCAACGTTTTTATGTACTGTTTCTTGAAGATCATAAGGAATTATTCGTCATTTAAGAAAGACTGGATCATCATGTACTTGATGTTTTATAAGCTGAATTTGTAGTGTCTGTTATTATGTTAACCCCATATACCCTATTCTAGCTTTCGGACAGCTCAATCTATTCATTCTACTTGAGTCACATTCTGACTTTGTTAATTATTCGCTCATCAATGTTGACTGCTTTTATATGAGCGCGTAGGTGTGTGTACACTTCTTATCCGATTACTCAGCACATGTCTGCAACCTGTTTTTGTGTAACTATAAATATTGATTAACGCTTGACTAAGGGGAGTTGGCTTACCCGCCATCTCCACTACGCGTCGTTTCGCTTCTCCATTCGCTTCATATGCAAAATATATGTATTCAAAAGCCCATTCTCGTTGTTTGACTTATTTAATTCCGTTATTGACTAACGCGATTTAAGTCGATGATTATATACGAGGATAGGCGATAACAAACATTCATATGATCTACTTGGAGTTAGATCTCAGGCTACTAAAGTGGAGAGCCCTTTGACAACATTGTCCGATCTAAACGACGACAAAATATTGGGCTCCACAAAAAAGTATTGATATCTAATTACATTATTATTTACTTGATACGTCTATAACAGTAAATGAAGAGTTGATAGTCAACGACCAAAATTAATTTGTTTTCTAACCTCTAACATTCGTTGACAATTGTGTGACAGAATGTAACGAAGTGTCTCACATTGCATTCGATACTTGACAAACATTTATATATCTTTATTCGAAGTTCAAAACATTCACTAATTCTTGAATATTTTTAAATTTGTTATCAACAACAATAGTAACTGTCGCAATATTCCTGTTTGCTTCATGTGAAATAAATAACAAAACAAACTAACTAAACCCATTTAACATAACTGGGTATTTTCAAACGATGACTAAAGTCGTGGTTATTTAAATATAAGCAAACAATCTTTGTTAAAAGGCAGTTTCTTTGACAATACGGCCGAGAGTGGGGAGAAATAACTCTTCCTCTGCAAACGCTCTCAAGTGACCACGTGCATACAACTATCAACAGGGAAGTCCTACTCACTGCCTTCTCGCGACATTATTGTTGTGTACTAAAACGAGAGGACGGAAAGCGGATGTCCGGCGCTTCAAACGGGTTAATGGACACAGAGAGTCCACTAAGGAGAGTTTGAGAACCCTCATTCCGAACCAAATGGTGCACATGGGCTCCAGCATTCTGATGGAACCAATATTGGTCACCGCTTACCATGGGACTGCATCTCCTTACGTTGCCCCACTACCTTGTGGATTTGACCTTTATGTCAAAGGCTCGGGGTGTGGCCCCATACGGGAACCACCTGTTCCGGTTCGGACGCCCTGGCAATATCCAAGTCCTCAGACAAACCGAATGATTTGTGTGCGCATATCTATTTGATGCTTTCTTTTACCTATGTTTGTGTTTAAATAAATAAATTAGCTTCTTTGCCGTTAAGTTTATTTAGCTAACCGTTGATATATATATCGCATTTCGGTATTTAAAGAGATAGTTAAATAATAATTTTTTCCTCAGCCCATATATTATATAGGTTTTAATCTTAACACTAGGAACTACATCCTATTTCGTTTCTTAATGTTTTCACTTTCGGACCAAAGGTGGGACATTTGCGTTAAAGCCATTATTGATCAAAGATAAAACTAAGATTTTTAAAAGTGTCAGGGAGGCATATTGACAACAGTCTCTTCAAAAAGACGGACATTTTCAAAGCCGAATGTAAAGAGTTCAGTACTTGTACAAACTAATGATTATTATGTACTTGATTGCCCGCTGATTACGAATTCCAAATATAATAAGTTCATTTATGCTCATCTAGTTCTACCCATCTTAATCTGCAGTATTTCGGAAATTCTTAGTTAATACAATAATTCGGATACTTCTAATTTTCATATTGGTGTCGTGATGGAGCCAAATCTTGGACAGTAGTATATTGATTCTAGAGGAGACGACTACAAAAACTACCTTCAGCAGTTCGAAATCTGGTGCATTACTAGAAAAGATATAAAAGATTATAAACTCATAGCTCATTTTCTGACGTTCATCAGCAAAGAAGCTTATAACCTGCTAAAGAATCGGGCTTTTCCAAATAAACCAATTTCATTGTCATATGACTCTCCCAAAGAGTTACTATTTAGTCATATGCAGTGTTTCATCCTTGAATGCAAATAGATCAACGTTTCATAAAATGATGCGACAAAATGATCAGAAAGTTAAAAACTTTACACTTAAACTACAGAAACATGCCGCTAAGTGCGATTTTAGAGACCAATTGGAAATTCAACTTCGTGATCTGTTGATTGCTGATACATATATCTTCCGAATTTATAGTGAGAATTAATTCGGAAACCCAAAAGTTCTTTTAAAAAAATTAAAACAACATGTATTAACTATGAAGCAGTGAATGAGCTTGATTTTTAGTTAGTGAAAATTTCTAATACTTTGCCTAGTCGTCGTGATGAACTATACTCCCAGGGTCACACAAGCTCGCGTTTGTTCAAAAATGTTCCTATTCTCCTGAAATATAAAAAGTGATCCAACAAAGATTTGTAAAGCATGTTATGAAGGTGATCACAGTTTTGAAAAATGTTTATCCTGTGGTAAATTTCACTTACCCCGCAGTTCGGATTTTATTAAGTTGAAAATGATTAAAGTGGGATCTTCTTTATTAGTTTCTAAAGAAATCTCTGACGCTTTACTTGAAGATTTGTTAGCTGAGTGTGCTGACTGCAGTGGAGGTATGAGAATTTTTGGGGCCCACCATTTTGTCGTCGTTTAGATCGGACAATGTTGTCAAAGGGCTCTCCACTTTAGTAGCCCGAGATCTAACTCCAAGTAGATCATATGAATGTTTGTTATCGCCTATCCTCGTATATAATCATCGACTTAAATCGCGTTAGTCAATAACGGAATTAAATAAGTCAAACAACGAGAATGGGCTTTTGAATACATATATTTTGCATATGAAGCGAATGGAGAAGCGAAACAACGCGTAGTGGAGATGGCGGGTAAGCCAACTCCCCTTAGTCAAGCGTTAATCAATATTTATAGTTACACAAAAACAGGTTGCAGACATGTGCTGAGTAATCGGATAAGAAGTGTACACACACCTACGCGCTCATATAAAAGCAGTCAACATTGATAAGCGAATAATGAACAAAGTCAGAATGTGACTCAAGTAGAATGAATAGATTGAGCTGTCCGAAAGCTAGAATAGGGTATATGGGGTTAACATAATAACAGACACTACAAATTCAGCTTATAAAACATCAAGTACATGATGATCCAGTCTTTCTTAAATGACGAATAATTCCTTATGATCTTCAAGAAACAGTACATAAAAACGTTGAACGATTCGTGTACGAAACGTATAATTGAACCGACCCAGTTTTCAGTATGGAAAACTCCCATTGTTACAACCTTGAAGTCGGTTGACAAGACCACTAGAACATGAGATGACTATAAATCAACACTGAACTTTTGTTTGTTGAAGCAATTTCGCATGACGGGGGAAGCTTAAGATATTCAAAATCGACTTCATAGTTCTAATGTGTTCTCGAAAGTTGATGGTTTTGTTTTTAGACCAGATATGAAACAACTAGCTCCAATGACAAATACACCATCATTAAAATATCTTACAGAACTGCGTTCACTAGTTAGTGCTCTTCAATACTACTCCTTTTTTATTCTAAATGTTTCTTGTCGTGCTAATTGTTTATTTAATATTTTGACATCCAATTAACTTAAACTGGTGAGGAACAAGAGTCATGCTTACGAAATGTACTAGTTTCCTCAAAGTGATGATGCTCTTAGAAGTTACTTCACAGGTATACATTCCGCACTTATTACTGATGCATCACTTGTGGTATTGTTGCAGTTTTGTAGCAGGGAGGTAGACCAGTAATCTGTGTTTCACGCAAATTTACTTTTGCTAAACAAGGTTATTCACAAACGCAGAGAGAAGCATTAGCTGTGTTTTGAGCCGTCAAAATAATCCATAAGTATTTTTTCAGATTAAAATTCATTATTGTTACTGACCATGGAGTTCTAAAGTTCATTTATCATTCTGAAAAATCACTAGCACGTTCCTCGTCTGCTATGGTTCAACAATCGAGCATGGCCTTGATTGTCTGTAACTGAAAGGTTCAGCACAGAAGTACTAAACAAATTCAGCATGCTGACTACATTTCTCGACAATCATTATAAGATAAGCCTGTTAATACTGCAAACTTTTTATTAGTGTAACCTTTGCCTGTGAGACCTACAGATCTCATTAGTGGAACTCATCGATACTTCAAATGTATACTCAGTGATATATGGCATGGTTGTTTGTGCTAATCCGAAACTTAGATTTCCTGTCTATTTTTTAAAGCGAGATGAGTTATCCACTACTCCTGATGGTATTTTGTGTTTAAATGGTCGTGTTGTTATTTCTTCTTCATTACGTTAATCTGTCCTTGAACATCTTGATAGTGGTTATTTGGGTGTTGACAAAATGAAGACCTTGACAAGACCCACGTGTTGGTGGCCGGAGACAAATGTAGATACATGTCGTACGGCAAAAATTTGTGGACGATGTCACAAGTCTCAATTTTGTCGTTCAAAGTTGACTCCATGGCCAGTATAACTCGCGGCCTCGCAGAGAATCCATGCAGATCATTGTGATCTATTTCTTGTCAAATACTATCCACTCGTGATCATTGATTTTTTTCTCGAATGACCTGAATTTTTTATTATTTCATCATATATTGAATTCACAATCCAAGCGTTAAGAAATATCTTTAGTCACAAGGTGATTTTTATAGTATTAGTGGTATTTGTACGAACTAACGATTATTTTGTACTCGATTGCCAGCTGATTACGAATTCCAAATATGATAAGTTCATTTACGCTCATCTAGTTCTACTTGTCGTAAATTGCACTATTTCGGGAATTCCTAGTTAATACAATAATTCAAATACTTTTAATTACCATAGAGGTATCTTCATACGTATTTTCACGAGAAGGATATGATTGTCACTGAAAATACTAAAAGTTAATGAATTTTACCAAAATATATAGACACAAATCGTTTCTCATATATGTTGTTTAAATAAACGAATTGCTTAATTTTATTCTAGTCAAAATTGCACCAAAAAAAGGAGAATGGCTAGTTCAAGAAACAATAACGTTTTTAATGACACAATTAATCTTCTTTTTAACTGTTCTTCATGCCCTAAATATTTCAATAGATTCTACAGCTAATTTGATTTTATGGTACTTAGTTGTTTCATGTTATTTAATTAGTTCAAAGACATGAAATATTAGATACGAGGTCTTCAAAAATGAACTGAATTTCGAAAAACTTTAAATTATGAATCCTCAAAACTTGAAATTATTTTGTTAGTCAACAAGCTACAAACAGATGCTAAACTTAAGACACATTTAATCGTCAAAATACTTTGTCAGTGAACTGATAAGTCTGCATGAAAGTGTGGTTAAATTAATTTACCTCATAAAATTAAATTTTAACTTACTTTATTGCGCTCATTTAATTGGTCATTCCAGTGATCTACAATATCATTTTGGCCGGCTGCTCTCAACATCTCCCTCACATCTGAATTGTTTTTTTTGAAATGTTCGATCAACAGAGTTTCAGCCATCTAGATAATATTATATTTCTAAAATAACGATAACCTTTGTCTTTTCTGAATCACGTTCTTTCTTTAGTGCAGTGGATCGAATCAGCATAACTGATTTGGATTTGGAATATTCAGCGTGTGCTTCCGATAGCTTCTAAACGGATCACTTAAAGAATAAGCGGTTTTACCTTTTCATTTTCTGCATCGTTTTCCAGGAGTTGAAGTAGCTTGTTTCTTCTAGCTTGCAAACTTTTCTGGGAATGGTCATTGCTCATTCCGACGAAATCCTGTGAACTTGTAAAAAGTAAACTTGTAGAGAACTTAGTTTACCTATTTATTAAGTACTTGTTCGATGACCACTGTTTTTCCTTCTCGGTTCTCACAGTTGAGTTTTTTAAATAGTTTGAATACTTTTTCCATTGCGCTAACTTCTCGAATTCAATATTATTTTTTTTTATAACCATATCTTGATATTTCATTTTTTGAGAGGTCGAAAATGTCTACTTTATAGAACTGAATATCTCCAATGTAAATAAAGATTTCAATAACGCACGTACTTGAAGGTTGCAGAGTATAGTTTCAGTTTCAGTCTAGTAGGGACAAGAAGTTAGGTTGGCTATATTAGTCCTGTCAATTTATATTATTCAGTCAATCCAACTCTCTTTTAAAAGAGTCAGCAGATAGAGCTTCAATTATATGTTGCTGTAATGAATTCCACTCGTTGATGATTCGATGTGGAAGTCGGTGGTCAGCTGACAATTAATTTGTTCGGAGTTAGTGAACATTTTTAGGGTGTCATCACAAATTTTCTCTATCGGCAGAAAGAAATCGATGGCATATCAAATACAACTTTGTCAATAAGTAATTTAGAAACCGTGATCAAGTCACCTCTGGTTTTCCTATACGACAATATAGATACGTTTAGTTTAGCCAGTCAAACATCATATGGGAGCTTTGCTATTCCGGGAATCATCTTAGTCGCGGTTCTCTGAACATTTCCAACGGCTCATTGTCTCTTTTCAGTGAGGGGCTAGCCGACTGTATATAGTGCTCGAGTTTAGGACGAACGAATACTGTATATAAAGTCAAAAACGTTTTAGTATCGTCATGAATAAAGGCCCTATGTGTATACCATAGAGTCCTAAAGCCTTTGACACCTATAGCATAGAGGCGTAGAGTGGTTTTTAAGTCATGGCTAATGATGGTTTCTTAGTCATTGTGTGTCTGAACAACAGGTAGCTCACTGATATTTACCGTGTATGTATCCGTTCCTTAGTGACCAATATGCATTACAATGAACTTGGAAGCATTTATTGGCAACCGCCAAGTTTAAGACCATTCAGATATAACAGCCGGTTGTGAGAAACTTTGTGAAAAGCCTTACCACATTTGCAAGTAACTTTTAATCCCTAAGAGCGCACCAATTTTCATGGGCCACTAATAAGTCAGTGAGGAATGAGTAGTCTGTTCTAAACCATGATGCTGTTCAGAAAGAATCCTGTTCTTCTCTAGATACGTAAGCAAATCCTTCTGGTCAGGCCTACGGACGATAGTTCTCAGCACTGTGTCTCATATCCGTTTCGACTTACTGTGGCGTTCCTTCTATCTTGTGTTTACGGATAGACTAAGCCATATGCTTAAGGGATTTTCGAAACAATTTGCTAATTCCTTTAGTGATCTTTCAACAGGCACTATGGATTTGCTTCTGTCAAGCTTGTTTAGCGGACTAAATAGGGAGTTCTTTAAAAGGTATGGTATACAGTGTATGTGTACTGTGGTATATCCTGGATGCCAGAAACTAACAGACTACTAGGCAGGAGGCTGGTTGGTAGAAATGTAGAAATAATAAATAGATAGTTCGTGTGCTACGAGATGGTTGTTTCAAAAATAAATAGACAATATACTTGATTGGTAATGTGTAGTAACCTGCTTACGCCTCTTACCCCACTTGGGAGAGCATAGGCTACTCACCAGCATTATCCATCCAACTTTGTAATGAGAAAACTTCCGGTTGCTATTGATGCTTCCAATTCCCGACACAGTGTTTTCTTTGACCTTTCTCTTTTTCGTTTTCCGTCAGCATTCCAAGTTAGTGTTTGCCTCGTGATGCAGTCTGATGATTTCCACTTCCAACGTCTCCTCGGCTGGAAGCTGGTTTGTTCTCTCCCACAGTAGACTGCTGCTGATTATATCCGGCCAATGGACATTCAGTATCTTATGTAGACAAATGTTTATGAATACTTGTACCTTCTTGATGATGGTTGTAGTAGTTCTTCAAGTTTCCGCTCCGTACAGTAGACGTTTGTATTGAAGATTGCGACTTTGATATTGGTTGACAGTTGTTTTGAGTTCCATATATTCTTCACTCGTAGGAATGCTGTCCTTACTTTTGCCAATCATGGCCTTTACGTCTGTATCAGATCCTCCTTGTTCGTCGATGATGCTACTGAGATACGTGGAATTTTCCACCTGTTCCACAGTTTCTTCATCAAGTGTGACTGAGCTGGTGTTCTCCGTATTGTATTTAAGGATTGTGCTTCTTCCTTTGTGTATGTTGGGGCCTACTGATGCAGAGGCTGTTGCTACACTGTTTGTCTTGATATGCATTTGTCGATGTGTATGGGATAGAAGGGCCATGTCATCTGCGAATTTCTAACTGTCTAATTCCATCCAGTCTATCACATGCTTTCCTGATGTGTAGAAGCCTTCAAAATCCAGACAACCACAACAAGAAAGGGAAAGGGGGAGAGTAAACAGCCTCGTCTGACTCCTGTTCTTACCTGTATAGCATCTGTTAGCTGTCCTACATGCACGACTTTGCGCAGTAGTCCCTCGTATGAATTTCGCATGGTGTTAGCAATCTTTTCAGGCACACCATGGTGTCGAAGTATGTTCTATAATGTTCTCGTGACACGCTCTGTCATAATTAGTGAATTTGATGTATGGTGACGAGTTTCATTCAACTGACTGTTCAACAGCTTTCCGTATTGCCGTAATTTGTTCGGCATATGACCAATCGCTACCTAACCTACTTCTTGTTTTTCCTTCCTTGAGTTTCGAAAGAGATCCATTCCTTATGATGATGCTTGTTGCGGCCCAGAACCTCTAGACACGTTGTAGTCAGTGTTTCTTTCATATCTTTTCAGTTGTTTTCCATCGTAGTTTCTTCATATTTCAGTAGATCCTGTTAAACTTGAAATTTGTTCTTGATAGTTATCTTGAATTCGTTAAGTTTGCTGATATCTTGTGTTCAGACATACGTAACACATGACCCAACCATCTCAGTTGATAAAGATCCACAGCCTAATCAACTGACTGACCATCATTCCCTAGTACCTTGTGTCTAACTTCGTTATTACTTACCCTGTGATACCAGCAGATGCGAGCAATATTCCTGAGACATGTGTGACCAAATACTAGTAGATTACGAGTATCTTCTACTCTTAATGGCCACGTTTCGCAGCCGTAAAGTACAACAGAATGAACTGTCGCTCAGTATAATCGTCCCTTAATTGATAAACTGATATCTCGCCTTCACCATAGGTGACGTAGGTTGACAAGAGTCACACGAGGTTTTCGAATTCCTGCTGAGATTTCATCAGACAAAAATCCATTGAGACTGATCAGACTTACAATATAAGTGAAGTTGTCAACGCGTTCGATTACTTCACTCCCTATCCTTAGTTCAGGTGTTGACACAGACCAGTCTTGAAGCAACAACTTGCATTTAGAGAGAGAGAAGAGCATCTCAAACATTCTGGCATTGTTGCTCAGTGCTATCAAAAGACTCTGCATTTCATCAGCGTCTTCACCAAACAGAACTATGTCATCTGCGTATTCTAAGTCAATAAGTGGACCTCTTGGTAGGAGATGGACGCCCGAGAATTCAGTCGATGAGAGCGTTATTTCCATCAGTAGATCTATGATGAAGTTAAACAAAAATGGAAAAAGTGGGCAGTCTTGACGGTCAACACTTGAGGTTGCACAAACTGTTGACAGTTCGCCATAAGCTCTGACTGGACTAGTAGTGTTTGGATAAAGAGCTTTCAGAAGATTTATGTACTTCTGAGGTACGCCTTCCAACAACAGACATTACCACAGAACCTCTCGGTCTACAGAGTCGAATGCTGCCTTTAAGTCAAGAAAGACTACTATTGTCGGACGTCGATAAGTACGCCTGTGTTCTAGAACCTGAAGAATGGTCAACATTTGTTTGGTACAGCCGCGACCAGGTCATAGTTAGGCGTCCGATCTGGGGCCGAGTCATCTCCTAACCTGTTTTTCATGTCTTCCATTGAATTTCTGAAACCTTAAGTGATGCAAATATGATCGATCTGGTCCTACATGGTGTGGTCCGGCGAGATCCATGTAGCTTTATGTATGTATTTGTGAGGGAATATTTTGCCACCTAAAACCAATTTGTTGAATGCACATAGATTTGTCAATTTATCAGCATTCTCGTCGCTTTTTCCTAGTCAGTCCATGTAGTCCCATGATGTGTTCATACCCGGTGTTGTTCATTCCGACATTGATGTTTAGGTCTCCCATCAGGATGATAAGATCCTTTCTTGGACATTTTGCTATGATTGATTGCAGCCTTTCGTAGAACTGATCTTTATTGCCGTCGTTACTATCATCGGTGGGTGCCAAACCCAGGCCCAAATCTCCTCGTTTACCCGGGCATGGGACTGGCAGTAACCTTATAAGTGCTACAAGTACAGTTAGGAGGTTATTCATGGAAATTGATTATGGACTATTATTAAGTATATTCTTACCGGATAATTATTCAGTAACGGGAACATAGTTCTTATTACTATTCTGCGCAATAATAGTGCTTCTCCACTTCACTTATCTGGCATGCAATTTAATAATAGCCTTGTATTCTTGCGCTTTCACAGTCTTCATGACTGTTTCACTGACACATTCCTGATCATGAGGATACATCGGGAATGACAAGGGCGACACAGAATTAAGTTAGGCAGTTCAGAGTCCATTGCCGAAGTAGCACCACCAGAACATACGTAGTTGGTGAATATGCGTCATCAGGTCATCATGATATTAACCAAGCTGTCCAGCATACCAGTCATGTAATCGAGACTTGATCTGTTTAAGCTTCTGATATAGTGTGAGATATGGGAAACAGCTCCTCTCAAAACAAAATGACCTAGAGTATATACCAGTCATCTCTGATAATGTTCAAAACAAATTAAACGGACTGAACGTACTAACATGTCGATCAGGCTAACCTAATATTGATGGCACGTTTTACTACGTTTCTGACATCAAGCTTTGGGAAACGTGGAAGATCGTTTAATGCGTCATATAGTTGCAGTCGTTGGTCAGCGTCTGTTTTACTGAAAGCCTTTCAGAACGTCAATCGACTGAAAAGCGAAATGTAACATTTGAAACTTCTTACGTCTACTTTATCTTATTTCTATTCATCTTAATATATGAAGTCTGAGTATGTTCGTATCTAGAA